GTGAGCATTTAGATTTATCTTCTAATTAATTTGCATTCACAGGCCGAGGGGGAGTACGACAAAGATCAATTGAGAAGTAGGTAGAAAGACGGAAAGAGTGAGACAGAGAGGACAGAGAATGGAAATTCTATAATATTTTTTTGGTATCTCTCTTGGTAGTTCTGCGTAATGCCTTCAAAGCTTTCGATCTCGAAGGCACCGGATTTATCGATCATAGCGATGTCTCAGCTATTCTTGAAATTCTCGGCCAAAAACTCGAACCACCAGCTGTGAAAGCTCTGATCAAGGAGGTGGACAAGGGCACCACAGGCAAACTGAATTTCAGCCAGTTTTGCAAGCTAGCGGCTCGCTTCATCGAGGTCGAGGAGGACGTCGGCGCCCTGCAAGCCGAGTTGAAAGAGGCATTCCGTGTTTACGACAAAGAGGGCAAAGGCTATCTGACGGTCGCCACCTTGCGTGGCATTCTCCACGAGCTCGACGACAAAATCTCCAGCCAGGACTTGGACTCGATCATCGAGGAGATTGACGCTGATGGATCGGGAACTGTTGATTTTGATGGTGAGCAAACTGGAATGACATGAAATTAAATACAATTAAAACTTTTAAATCCATTTTATTTAATTACTCAATACAGAGTTCATGCAGGTGATGACAGGTAAATTAATATTATATTTATTAATTTAAAGTGTTTTTGCATGTTGTTTACCTGAACTAATGAAAATACCTTTTTATTTGATACGCTTACCTAAGGTAGCGAATAATTTATGTTTAAGCGTATTTGTGGCTATAAATTTGAGATATATATGTATGTGTAGACCTGCACATATTTAGGGCATTAGACAGAGTCCATCTGCATGTGAATATGTGTTTGGGGCTAGTTTTGAATAATCAAATTTCTAATTTTTAATTTTGTGAAGCATTCATAACAATACATTAAACTAGATATACGATATTAATCTCAACATGTATGTATGTATTGAAAGAATCAATCGATGAATACGAAAATGAGAGGCATTAAAGGTTTAGTTTCAGGGAAAAATAAAAATGTATTTTCATACAGACAGAAAATTCTAAAAGGAAATTTATGAGCATCAATCAATATCTCGAATTTAATCAATAAGTATCTTAAAATTCAGAAAAACGTATCTCAAAGATGTACATATCTCAGACATGTATCTTAAACAAGTATCTCAGAAATGTATCTTAAGGATGTATCTCAGAGATGTATCTCACAGATGTATCTTAAAGATGTATCTCAGAAATGTATCTTAAAGATGTATGTCATAGATGTATCTCAGAAATATATCTCACAGATGTATCTCAAAGATGTATCTCAGAAATGTATCTCACAGATGTATCTAAAAGATATCTCTCAGAAATGTATCTCAAAAATGTATCTCAGAAATGTATCTCATAGATGTATTTTAGAGATGTATCTCAGAAATGTATGTCAAAGATGTATCTCAAACATGTATCTTAGAAATGTATCTCAAAGATGTATCTCAAAGATATATGTCACAAATGTATCTCATAGATGCATCTTTAAGATGTATCTCAGAAATGTATCTCAAAGATATATCTCACAGATGTATCTCATAGATGCATCTTTAAGATGTATCTCAAAGATATATCTCAAAGATATATTTCACAGATGTATCTCAAAAATGTATCTCATAGATGTATTTTAGAGATGTATCTCAGAAATGTATCTCAAAGATGTATCTCAAACATGTATCTTAGAAATGTATCTCAAAGATGTATCTCAAAGATATATGTCACAAATGTATCTCATAGATGCATCTTTAAGATGTATCTCAGAAATGTATCTCAAAGATATATCTCACAGACGTATCTCAAAAATGTATCTCAGAAATGTATCCCATAGATGTTGTATTTCAGATGTATTTTAGAGATGTATCTCACAGATGTATCTCAATAATGTATCTCACAGATGTATCTCAATAATATATCTCAGAAATGTAACTCAGAAATCTCAGAGATATATCTCACAGATGTATCTCAAATATGTATCTCAGAAATGTATCTCATAGATGTATTTTAGAGATGTATCTTAGAAATGTATCTCAAAGATGTATCTCAAAGATGTATCTCACAGATGTATCTCAAAAATGTATCTCAGAAATGATCTCAAAGATGTATCTCATAGATGCATCTTTAAGATGTATCTCAAAAATGTATCTCAGAAATGTATCTCAAGGATGTATCTCATATATGTATCTTAAAGATATATCTCAGAAATATATCTTAAAGTAGTGTCTTAGATGTTTCTCACAAATGTATCTCCATCAAAATAACTAACATACAGCTTATAAACAGCTTCCTTCCATTAATAAATTACTTTCTTTATTTTTAGGTTAAAATGTTGGATTATCAAAAACTTAAGACTAACTTTAATCCTTGGCTTACAACATGAAACGGATGAATTGGACTTTGCCTGACAATGTAATTTCTAATTGAATCTTTTGATCCAGAGTTCAATATAAAAAAATTAATGCTTTGTTTAACAAAAAGAAATATAAATGAAAAAAGATATATGTGTATTATTGATATGGCTAAAATATATTATGTATAAACATTCCAGCATGTCTGGCTGGGAGTTAATCGAAGTTGGTATATAATTGAGCCCACATTGAAGACATCTTAATGGGTTTCCATAATTTCTTGGCATTATCTACACAACAATTTTGATTTTATAGTTTTACTTTTATTTCAATGATTTTTTTTTATTTTGTAAATATTACTTGTCATTCCCATTAAAATTTTCTGGTTCTACTATCTAATATGACTTCCCTGTGTTTACCCTGAACACCAAATAAAACAAGTTTTTATAATTGAGCTGATAATGAAATAGTGAAGCGTTAAGAGGACTTTCTCAAATTACTAAAAAAAAGCTATTAAATAATTTAAAATTATATGCTGCGAAATTAAGTGTAAAGTCTCTTGATTGATAAACAAAATAATTATGGAAAGATTTCCCGCATGCTTAAAGATTTTGCTTGGATTTTCCACAGTAAATGAAAATTTATTAATTATTGAAATTACAAATGAAGTTAAAGTTAAAGCTGATTGCTTGAATCATTAACCTTTTGTTTAATTAGACATAACTGCAAGCCATGAAATTTGATAATTGCGCGAACATATTTTTTTGTACAGTTACTGGAGGCGTGGCATTTGTTAGTGTCGAGTGACTGAGTATTAAGCAGTCGCCTATGGCCTGCCTTAAATAACTTAGTATGAATCACAGAAATTGATAAGTTATATCAAAAAACCTTACCATTAAGAGTTTTGATTTATCTACCTCTATTTCTATTTCTAATGTGTATAGTTCTGTCTCTCTTTTTTCTTCGATCCCTCTCAGTCTCCATTTGATCTTTGCTGGCTACTGTTGATTTCTGATGAAGAAATCAAAAGTATTTACTCATATATATATGTATTATATGTATATCCGGATTAACCGGAAGGTAGCAGTTCTTTTCTGGCGACAATTAACGCGACTCTCGCGACAACAAAAAGCACTTCCACATTTTGCAATTCCAATTCCAATTCCAATTGACAACAATCCAAATCAAGCCAAGCAAAGGCAAAGCAATTTAAAATCGATTTAGATCTGTTTTGTATTGGGGTTTGGTCGATTTGGCGAGATCTGTTGTTCGTTTAGGTTGCCAACTCTGGCTTTAGTTATTAAGTTGTTTTTCTCTTTTGGCGTCCTTGACTAGCTGAGCTTAACTAGTTAATTATAGCGCTAATAGACAATGAGCTAGTGTTACGCATGCTTATCCAATGAATTGAATGAATGAACAATTTACGCAGTCAACAGCTTAGTTAAAGAAATGTAAATATATACTCTTCAGCGGAGTTAATTGATCTGTTTTGCTACATTATTCACTATCTGCAATCAAATTCAAGTTATATTAAGTAATTTTCAACTAAATTCTAGCTGAAAGTAATTCCCGTTAGCCTATTCTTATAGCTACTTCGATATTAGGTTAAGAGCACAAATTCATAATTTGCATGCGAATCAGACTTAGAAGACTTCGTTAATGTTGCTAATTTAGTCAATGCTGTTTTTTTGTGGTTTAAGCAATTGTGCCTGCAGTAAAGCAAATTTAAATAGCATTGAGCTCTGCACCAAAATCGTGATTCACAGTTTTAGTTCGATTTTTATTTTAGTTTTTTTTTTTACTTTTTCGCAACCTATGAAATGAACAAAGCCAATAAAGCCCCAAAAGTCTTTTGTTTTTCTCAGGCCACATTTGGGCGGAGGTGTTTGGCCGCATAAACAAAAAAGAAACAAAACAGCAACAAATTCTCTTATTTATTCCAGTTTCTACTTTACGCAGATACAAATCTTGTATTTGGCAAGCATAATGAAACCGAAAGTGAAGGTATTTTAATTGTGGGCAGGTTTTTCACTATGTTCGTAGCTCTGTGCATATACATATATAAGGAGAGATAGAGAGACTATATAACACTCCTATTAGTACCTAACGCATATTGAATGAAATGCAAAAGGTTTTTATAATTATTTATGAGGGAAGCAATAAAACACATTTAACAGCCAAGTGAAGGTATGCAAAATAAACGAAGCCAAAAAATTCAATATGAATGCCTTATATTATACATTCTTAATTAATACAACTTTGTCTATCAACAATACAAATGGGTTTGGCTTTGTCCCTTTTACTGTCTGACTGTGTAAAGGTTTTTCTGCTGTTGCCATGTAGATACTTATCTAAGGTGGTTTTGCTTTTATATTATTGATTGGCATGCAATTTTATTATGAATGGAAAAACTAAAACTATGAAAATTTCATTTCATATTTTTTTCTATTCTAAATTAAAAAAAAATATAATTTACAGTTGATATAATAGAAAAATGTTTATTTATTTTATATGACTTTTAAAATAATATATACTTATTATTGTATATATTTATGCTAGCTATTGCATGCCTATGAATGAACCCCTTTGTATATTTGTTTATATTTAAGCCAGCTGTGAGTAGGTGCATATAGCCAGAGTCCAGATAAATAGAGAACGCTTCTGGCAAATGCAGCATTATTCGAGAATGAGACTCGCAGCAGGGAACAGCTGCGTGCTCTGGAAAGTGGCTTTGCTGTTGACGCTCTGTGGAGTTGCAGCAGCTCATATGGAGGGTCTTCTGGGCGGTAAGTCAATTGATAAAGACTAATCCGAGCTAAGCTAATATTTTTCTTTTTCTTTTTGTGTCTTGAGCAGTTTGCTCAAGCACCACTGTGCCGGTGGACTGTGTGCCGGGCTGCCAGTTGATATGTACAAGTATTCTCATTATACGAAGGTGCATCGCATTAGAATGTAGGCGTGGCTGTGTGTGTCCGCCGGGCTCGGTGCGCAAGGGCTCAATTGAGGGCGTCTGCATTAAGCGCAGTGCCTGCAGGCGCTGGGTCTTATGAAGAAGCCCTGCCATCTAGCAGCTAAACAATATATTGTAGTAACTGAAAATGAGCTGAATAAGTTTCACCAGGCAGCCTTAAGTCGTTCCGGCATTGACCTTGTCCAACCCTGGCCACTCTACCGTTTCAAGCGAGCATCGCAAACAACACCTAGACGTTACCTGTTCCCCCGGCCGAATGCACTGCAAAGACCACATTTCACATTTGACTGACAACAGATTGGCTGGGGTGAACTACCGATTAAGTGGCTGGGATGAAGCTGCAAATCTTCAAGTGTGAACAGACAATATATACTCTCTGTCTAGCTCTATGTATGTACGTACATATATTATTATGTAAGGCCTTCATCAAATATCGTTATTTGATTATTATCTTTACCAATTTGTCGGAAAACTAATATGTATTACATATTCAGTTGAATTTTTAAACAATTATATATCATATATATATTTTATTATACATGTATGTATGTATTTTTTTCTATATAAAATAAATATAATTACATAAAAATATATAAATATATAACATATAAATACATTTCTACGTACATACTTACATCAGCACACACACGCACACACACACACACACGTATACAGAGGAAACTCACCAACACGTGAAGCACTTGAAAAAATACCCACAAACTTGCCAAAAGGCACGACAGCCTCGAAGGGTTACTTGAATTTTTGAGAATCGAGGAGGAGGGCATCACCAAAAAGTCATTGTCATTTAACTTTGTCGTCCAACAATCAAATCCTTGTGTACAAAGGAGCATACATACGTTCCTACTCACACACATACATACATAAGTGCAACAGACTAGACATAAATCATTACATATTTACATACATACAAATATAAGTGCATATATACATATGCAGCGGTATATGTGTAAATAGAATATGTAAAAATTATAACTTTCAATTAAACACATGCAAGGTATTAAATAATATCATACATATATACATACATTTACATTTACATACATACATATACATGCATACATAAATACCTACCCATACATGCATACATATATTTTTCATGTAAATATTGGAAAACAAACGGAAACGGAAACTTACTTTTACGATCATTGTCACAGCTAATCTCTGCGCATATCGTTTACGATATTCGAGCAGCTAATCCATTTGAAAATCTTACGTGCGTTGCATTTATTTATTTCATTTTTTTCGCACGCATCACATTCAGCAACAAACAAAAGTTCACGAGTTCCGAATCGAAAATTAGAAAGAAAAAAAAGTAGCAACAATTAAAAATTGATTGAATGCAATAAAATAATCCCATGGAGCGATGAATATTTAACGCGACTTAACATATTCCTGTTAAAATATGTACATATAAGTAGTACGTATTGTTTATGCTTTGCATTTCTCTTAGCTCTCAGCTCTCTTGGCTGAGGAAAAGAGCTTCGAGAGCTTTTCGAGCTTCGTGAGCTTCAAGTTGAGCTTAAGCTGCCCGCCCGGGGGCTTTGGCTATTGTTGTTGTTGTTGTTGTTGTCGAGTAACTGTAGCTGCAGCGACTTCTTGCGCTCTTGAAGCCATCGCGTGATTCACTTTTAGCCATTCTCCGACTGTTCGCAAGCTCGACCGCAACAGCAGCTTGCAGCGGCTTGTCTCTGCGCTCGAAAGATTTTATATAGTCACACGGGTCCGCCTAGTGCTTCAGTTTGGTGCTTAGACGCGGTGCGCGTGCCTCGAAACGCTGTACAGCAATTGGAATTTCGTCTCGATTTGTGAAATTGCGTTAAGTGGCCACAGCTAGAGCTAGATCTAGACCGCTTGCCAAACCAAAAGAAAATTCGTCGAGCCCTTTGTGGCAATATCCTGTTGTTATTTTTGGCTAACAACAACAACAACAACAGAAAACTAGTCGAAATTTTATGCAAAAGGCGACTTTGATGTTTCCCCAGTGCACTGTGAAATATTGAAAAAGAAAAAAAAAAAGTAAAAAGTAAAAAGTAAAAGAAAAGAAAAGAAAAGTAATTAATTGATATATTGAAAAAAAAAAGTTGCAAAATGGGATTAAAACACTTGCTTGGACTTGTAGCTGTTATAGCAATTATTTCGGATTTACCAGTGTCTCGAGCTGTGCGCATCGGCGCTCCACAGCCCAAGCAACGCATTAAGGGTAAGTCCCTAATCAAAAAAATATGAAACTCAATTAATAAACTTGAGGAATTCAACTAGATTAAAATAATAAAAAGCTATATTAATGACTCTTGTATACTCAATATTTTCTTGAAATTTCTATAAATTTATCTAATTATGCTGTGTGCAAAGCAAGGTGTGAGTGAGAAAGATAGACTGATTTTTAATTAACATTAATAAACATGGCCTTGTGCATGATGTGAGGAGCACTTTCATTTTTTTTCTTTAAGGAAAACAAACGTGGCGTATACTTAATATGCAAACGGATGTGTGCATAGCATGCACCTACAGCTGCGGTCATAAAAATAGTAGTGCGAATAAAACTTGTTGACAAACTGAATATCAATATCTTAAATAAAAAAATATTAATATTATTTGAAATATATCTTAGATTTATGCAGTTATTATCATTGTCTAACACTTAATGCAGAGTCGCACTACTTTTTTGACCACAGCTGTATGTACAGCATGGTTATGTACTTATCTACCATCTATATACAACATGTATGCATATGCACTTATCCAACGAGCATAACAAGTTATTAAAACTAATACACGCACTCTGTGAAACTCTCAAAGTCTCTTCAAGTCTCTCAGAGTCTCTCGAAGTCACCGAAACTCTCTGAAAACATCTCTTGAGCACTCAAAGTGTCAATAACACGATTTATATAGTATTGCACGTATTGTTATATTAAGCCGTCACTTTCCATTTATCATTTGAATGGCATCGAAATCGCTCGAAATTCAAATATCTTTCCAATGGCAAAGTTCAGTTCAGAAAACGGGGGAAACATGAAAGAAAAGTGAGCGAAATCAAAACGTAGCAACAAGAAAGAGATGCCTGCAAAGAAGTGGGAAAAACATTAATTACAAAGCGAAAAGTAAAAAAATATAGTTAAAAGAAAGTCTCAATGATTAAATTTGTTTTACACTAAATACTATTTATCTGTGTGTGTGTGACTTATAATTCTATTGAAATTATTTAATTCAATGAAATATCTAAATATAGTTAACAATGAAAATTTACGTGTATTTTTTTTTTTTAATTTTAATATTTTTTATAATTTTAGAAGCTAATTGTTTAAAATTAATATTTGTTATCTACGAAAGTATTTATATGTATTTTGTTTAATTTGTATTAACTTCCTATATCAATTAAATATGTATATTAATGTTAATAAGTTTCTTCTTCAATATCTAAGCTTGAATTTAATTTTTTAAGCAGATCTTAATACTTTTAATAAACTAATACAACTTAAATCAAGGCAGTCTGATCTCAGCTTAATCTAAAATTAAGTTGTCTCACAGCTTCAGAGTATCGAACTACTCTATTAATGCAATGCACATCCGTATTCATTTCATTTTAAACGGTTTATATGTACTATGGATTTGTATCTCTCGATATTTAAACTTGACATTCGTGTGTCGCCAAGAGGGAGAGGAGGAAAGAGGCTGAGATAGAGAGATAGAGAGATAGAGAGAGAGAGTGAGTGAGTGTGAGAGAGAGAGAGAGAGAGTGAACTGGCTGCATTGTGCCAGCAGATAAATGCAACTGTCAGTGTCCGTACGCTTGCAAGTCAACTGTGGGTTCAAACTACTTATAAATTTACACATATATACACACATACCTTGTATATAATATATAAATATATGTGATTGTCATGCTGGTAGTGATATTAGTGTGTGTGTGTGTGTTTTAAAGTAAACAAATCTCTGCACAAATGCATAATTGTAAGTGACACGAATCCTCTGAAAATGAAAATCTCGTCAAGACAGCGACATTTTCGTAGTTATTGACTAACCAATTAGTTCCGCCTTGTGCGAATTATACAATATTTAAAAAAAAAATATGTAAGTATTATATAAGTTTTTAATTATATACGAAAATAAGAGATTTAGTTTGAATTATGCGGCTTGTATATTTCAAAAATATATAAAGTATGCCAAAATAACATTTTTATATTCATTTCATTAATATAATATATTTATTATACATAATTCTGCAAAAATTACCTTTAAAACATTTGTATGGATCTTTAATAAACATTAATAATATGCATTATATACATTTATACATATATATATCAGTATTAACCTGTAATCCTATATATCTGATATTCTCTTATAGCATGTATCCAATACTAATATTCATATTTCTTCAAACATACTTTTTAGATCAAAATAATACCACAACTACTCATATTTTAATAGCTGCAATTAGCAGACTTCAATTTGGTTATCCAAGTACAGCTATGTCGATCACACACACGCACACACACACATACACACATTTTATATGCCCATATATATCGGAGTACAGTCAATTCTGAATGGACCCAGTTATGAGGCAATTCCACATCCGCTGAGTGGTATGCAAATAAATTACCATTCACGGATCAGGTGTATTATGAGTTTTCATAACATTGTTTTTGCATTTTGGTTTGAAAAATTTGAAATTTGAAATTACATAAATGTGTAAAAGCCAAGCAAGATTGGCAAATGTACTTCAAATAGTTATGAGCGGATTACTTTCACATAAATTTCAATAACTATAGAGAGATGTCAGATGGGGCACGTAGCATACAAATAAGCCAGATATTGGTATATGTATATGTGTATCTCTGATATATCTGTATTGAGAGGAATTTGCTGATTGGAATATAATCGAAAATCAAAAATTGACAAATTCGAATGGAATTCATGCATAAAAAGTGTAGGTAGACATGCTTGTGTGTGTGTGTGTGTGTGTGTGTGTGTGTACATCTCTTACATCGATTATGTAGTATGTGTATGCAGGCATAACGGTGCTGTAGGTAACTGTGGCTGGGACTACAGCCATGGCTGCAGTTGCCTGCATTCAGTTGCCTGCCACACCCCTCAAATATCCAACTCAAGTCGAAAGCCGACAACTCAGTGGAGCACGTTTGTCAAAATTGGCTTTGATGCCCGCGCGAGCACAAATACAAACACAAACACAACGAAAAACATAAACCCAAGCAAAAACCCAACTAGATATCGAACGCGCAATATGGGTGTAATTATTGTAAAATCAAAATGTAACTAAAATCTCGCCGCTCCGGCAATTTACTCTAATTTCCTGTATGGCAATACACACACACACACACACACACATAAACACAGGGGCACATATATGTACAAAATATTTTATAGCTAGATAAACACACACAGACACACATATATAGTTTTAGAGTTATGCATCCGCTAATGTCTTTGGGACAACAATGCAAAGTAGGAAGTGTGTGAGTGTGAGAGCTAAAGAAGGCCCACAAAAAAAAAAAAAAATATGAGTAGAAAAAAGTCCGTGTGACACAAATATTTTGTAATTACTTGGGAACGTAAAGATATGTAATGGCAGAGAAAGAGAGAGAGAGGAAGAAAAGATATAGAGATTATATTTTTGAAAGTGCAAGACTGAGTGATTGAAAAATTCCTTTCACAATTTAAGTGCATACCAAAAAGGGCAGCAGATAAAATTCCAGCTCACATTGTTACAAAGAGTCATTTTTGAAAAAATAATTAGCAAATGTATTTTATAAAAATTTAAAAATGATGTCTCTTATTAGTATTATTGTAGAATAATATAATATTATTATTATATATTTTCTTTTTGCAATTTATCCTATCTGTAAATTGTCTCCTGGAAAAAGTAAATTTTAATTAAATTGTTAAAATTAAAAAATGTGGGAAAATTAGTTAAAAAATCATTTCACTTTTTCGAGAAATTGAAAAATGTGGGAAAATTACTTCAAAAGATATTTTCCTCTTTGAAAAACACAAAAGGCGTACTTGTATGTGAGAAAGGCTAAATGCATTGTACTATGTATAAAAAAAACTCAATATGATTTATTCAGTTGACGCTTGAGGCATGAACAAACGAATATAATATAACAATATTAAGATTAACATATATTCTTATTAGTTTAGATGTTGATATGGAGTTACTATAGTGTATTAGTTTCATACTATACATAACATATATAAATATATCAAATATATAAATAATTCATAAATTCAGAGAGCTGCTAAGTGACTAAGTGAATGATTGATTGATTGATTGACGACTGTACTTAGCAATTTGTCTGAAGCAACATTATAAAGAGGCAATCGAGAAAATTTCTCCTGCTTCTGTGCAAAATGGTGTCGAAAAAGAAAATTTTTAACATGACTGCACAAAATTTTCCTTTGAAAGGCTTTTCACCTATCAAAATAAGTCAAAGGAAACGAATTTGACTGAAAGGCTCAAACTCAAATTGCAGCGAATTGTTAAAAGGCTTCAGACGTGTTTAGCACTCGACACTTGAGGCAAATTGGAAAAGGGAAAAAAAAGTAATAAATAAAGAAAATAATATTCATAACGGAAATATTCCCATATCTACAGACAAATCTCCCCTCTCAGTGCGCTTGGTGCCACGCTGCGTATGCGCAATATGTGGGAGAGCCCTTTAAGCCTTTCGCTGCTGCTGCTGCTGCTTGGCCAATACAGATTAGCTTCAGTTTAGCGCAATGGATTTTGCGCCATTGTTATGCTCATTTGCTTATGCGCATATAGTACCAACATATGATATGCACATACGTAGGTACACATGCCGAAAAACAACAGAGAGGGGCGAAAAAAAGTAAAAACAAATTCAAATTCCAATAGCAAACCCGTTGAACCCGTTGCAAACTGAATCTGTATCTGGGCGCTGAGACTGAGATACATTTGTTGTTGTTGTTGCTGTTGTTGTATTTACTTTAAGCGCGGAGCTAGCTAGCAAATGTCACGTTCGGATTTTGTTGCTGTTGTTGTTGTTGTTATTGTTGGGTTTTTGGCAGCGATTGCGACACAATGCATATCTCTATACGTATGTGAGAGTGTGTGAGTGTTTATGTATTTGTATATGTGAGTACATCCATACTTAAATAACTCTGTTGACTGGATGCTGTCATTGCCAAGAATAATTGATTAAAAACTCTTTG